GCGGCGGCCCTCGGGGCTGTGTGAGCGCCAGGCAGACAAGCTGGATGGAATCCGTTGCCTGGGAAACATGGCGGCTCGGAGGGCACAGCTGGGACGCAGGGACCACCCACCAGGGAGGACCCCAGGCACCAGGGCTCCGTACCCTCCGGAGGGGTGGGTGTCGACGGCTGGGACTGCCAAGGTCCACAGCCAAAGCCAAGGCCTGGGACGGCCTCCAGCCCCGCCCAGGAGCCCCAGAGGCAGGGACCAGCTGGGGGCTGAGAGAGATGGGGACCTCACTTCCAAGCCCCGCCCTGGCCACTACCTGCCTCCTGGACGGTGACCCTCCGGCATTCATCGCGACCTGGGCACTCCCACCCCCACCGTCTCCCCTGCTGCTGCCCCCCCACCAGCCATGCGGGCCTCCTGCCCCAGGTGTCCAGCTCAGTCCCCTCCCAACAGGTGGCAGCTCCTGATGATCCCAGGGTGGGGCTCTGGCTCCCCGCTGTCCCTCCAGCCTTCCTGACCCTCCCCCACCCCATCACCCTCCTGGGGTTCCTGCCCAAGTGGGAATTGCGGGGCGGGTGCCACCTGACTTCACAGGGAGCCAAGCCCACACTCTGCCCTCCCCGCATCCCCAGAACCTTTTGGGGTGCCCGGCCCACAGGGCCAGTCAGCCAGTCCTGAGTGGGAGGGGACCCCCTTGGGCAGCATCCTGTGGGGAACAGAGTCGGGGTGCTGGGGCCGGAACCCAAGCCCACACCACGGGGCACCTCCTCGTGTTGGAAAGAGGGTAAGACGGGGCCCTGCTGGGCTGGTGGGGCCGACACCCAGCGTGAGGGTCCTTCCGGGAGAGGGCAGCTGGGCGCAGAGGCAGCGGTGAGGGTGATGCGGCCACGCGGCCCCGGGGGTCACGGCGCATCTCCGAGGACCACAGCCCGGGGCCCGCCCACTCCCAGGTGCCCAGGGCAGAGGATGCTCCTGGGGGCGGGGGGGACAGACCAGCCGAGGAGGGCGCCCTGGGGGCAGCCTGGGGGCTCCAACCTTCACTGGGGGGCAGTCCTGTCCTGGCTGCGCTCCTGCCCTCCCACCCGACCCCACACCTGAGCCTCGTCTCTGCTCCCGCTTCCTGGAGCTTCCAATCTGGCGTCGAAGCCTCAGAGCTCCAGGCGGCCATTCTGTTCACACTGCGCGTTCTGTGTGTATGTGCACACGTGCATGCGATGTGTGCGCACATGGGTGTGTGTATGTGGTGTGTGTGCACATGGGTGTGCACATGTGATGTGTGTGCATGGGTGAGTTTTGTGTGTGCTCATGTGTTGTGTGCATGTGTGTGTATACGTGTGGTGTGTGCGCACATGTGTGTGTGTGCATGTCCTGTGTCCCTGCCCCAGAGCAGGAGCCCAAGCTCCCCCTGACCAGGGCGGCTCCCAAAGGGGAAACTGAGGCTGCAGGGCTCAGCACATCCCCTGGTGCATCTCAGCCATTTGGCCGCAAAGTGCCTGCTGGGGGCGCTCCTGAGGCCCC